TATCATTATTTAACAGAAATACCGAGCTTATGTGGCCTTCCCAGACTTTTTCCGTGATTCAACTGCCACATGGTGGAAAAAGGAAATTCAAGAACTCTACATGAACCCACAGGCACCAGAGAAGAGCTTGAAGTTTGATGGCCTATGGATTGTAAGTGTGTGTGTATGTCTATTCGCTTGGATGGAGGATAGGAGCAGTGTGCTTTTGTGTATGTATGTGAGCCCATATTTGTGCATCTTCCTGTATCTTAATTTTTAAAATATTTACCATTTATTTCATTTGAATAAATGTTTTGTCTATATGTATGCATGTACACCATGTATGTACTATTTTGTCTATATGTAATGTATGTATGTACATGATGTGTGTGCCTGGTGCTCATGAAGGTCACAAGAAGGAGTCAGATCTGGAACTGGAGTTACAGATGGTTGTGAGCCACCATGTGGATGCTGGGAGCCCAGCAATAGCAACAAGTGCTCTTATGAACTGAGAGATCTCTGCAGTCCATCTACCTGTGTGTGTCTTAACATATTAATCGAATAACATCCATCCCAGGCTTTGGAGATGCCACAGTGTACTCCTTCTATAAGGTGTGGAACAGCCTTCATCCTCTCCACACCTGGTCTTTACCTGAAGCTCCTTCTCTAAGACCTCCAATGTTATTATCAGAAATCTCTTGGAACTTGGTCTGCCAAAAGAACTTTCCCTATAGAGATCATATAATCTTTATAGCCTGATTCCCCAGCAGTTGAAGATCTTCCCTGTGCAGATGTCCAGAGATAACTGGATGTTTAATGCTTTTTTCATGCTATTTTATTAACTCTGAATTTATAGGCTCTGATTACATTTAAATAGAAGTAATGTTTCTGACATTTGTAGGATATGAATGAACCTTCCAGTTTTGTGAATGGGGCAGTTCCTTCAGGCTGCAGTGATGCTACTCTGAACCGTCCACCCTACATGCCACGTAAGGAATTTGGGCCTGCTCCTCCTGTGCAGCAGTGTCTGGAGGCAGAACTGAATGCTGGAGTAAATGTTGCCTGTTTCCAAATGCCATTGAGGAGACAGGAACTGAAAATCCATTGTACTTTATTCAGAGGCAGGCAGGCTGGGAATGCAGAGGACTAACATTCCTCCAATCAACCTTTCCCCTCCTCTAGCTAGCACATTTTAGAAAATGTGTGCTGAGCCAGTCAAAATGTGTACAAGCAGATTCATTTCTATGTAAGGAAATTTCTACTGTGCTCCTGTAATATAAATAATCAACCCTCCCTGTCTATCCAGCAGGGGTTACCTGGTCACCAATGGTAGGTTCTCATAGTTGCTGTGGTTTAATGGGGCTGGAGACAAGGAATAGGAAAGCCCTTTACCCAATTCTGTGTGTGTAAGATCCAGGAGACATTAGGCAAGTTTCTCAAATTCGTCTAGATGATTCTCAACAGTATTAATGTCTCTGAAGGCTTCTCAAGTAAAATGTCTTGGCTATCTAGTTTTATGAGAATGCATCCACATGCATTTTCTTTGTAACCAATGGTTGGAAAAAGTTGCTTCCTGTTATCATGGAGCCAGTTGACTTTAAGGTTCTATTTGTGTTTATGCCTTAGTTCCACCAATTTTATTTTCCTTGGTGTATAACGTATTTCAAAGATCACGCAACTTTCCTTGTGTCAGTTTTCTAGAGTAGAGTACACATAGAGAGGCAGAAAGTATTATAAGCTTCATTGAAGTGGTATAAGAATGATAAATAGTTAGTGTTAGCAGTCCTAGCCAAAGCCTGCTCTGCTGTCAGTGAATGAAAATCCAGGGTTCTGTTGCCTCCTTTACCTTCTTAAGTGAACCAGCAATGGAAATCACATGCAGGCTCCTTGCATCTCAGCTCAGAGCACTGTACTGAGTTGACCCTAGGTTGGGGAGAGATATCAAATTAATCTTAAGTTGTGGAATTAAATCCATTAATAGGAGGTCAGGAATGAGAAAAATCAGAACTGTTTTTCACTTTCTTAAATCTTCCCTCAGATTTGGAAGCCAGGGACAGGGGCCTGAGCAGCAAGACACTGTGCATGGAGAGTGAGCAGATGCTTCCAGATGGCTCCCGGTTGCGGCATTATGATGTGCACAGCCTTTATGGGTGGTCCCAGACCAGACCCACCTATGAGTGAGTGACCCTCTCCTTCTACTTCTCCTTCTACTTCCTCTACCTCTGTGATGGGTGTTGTAGCTCCTCTACTTTTCCATTCATTTTCCCATCCCCAGGGGTCTGTACAATGTAATTGTAATAACTGTGCAACAATTCTTATTTATTAAGCAACCTCTCCTTAATCATGGAGGCAGATGTGTGAGGCAATCAATAGTCCTCTTGAATGTACCCACAGGCACCCTGAAAGTCATCATGCACTGTAGGCAGTACTGTGGTATCATTGGTGGCAAGAGGAAAAGGGTATCTGAGGGCTAGAAAGCTCGCCTGTTTGTGTTGGAAGTGAGTTGTCTCTTGTTTGTTTTTTTGTTTTTTTTGAGACAGGGTTTCTCTGTGTAGCTTTGCGCCTTTCCTGGAACTCACTTGGTAGCTCAGGCTGGCCTCGAACTCACAGAGATCCGCCTGGCTCTGCCTCCCGAGTGCTGGGATTAAAGGCGTGCGCCACCA